CGTACGCTAGGTGATTGTAATGCCTATCTGACCTTAGGGTTATGCAGAGAAAAGTAGGTGCAAGGGACAAGTAAGTAAATGATTTAATTTAAATATCTAATATGATTTAAGTAAAAATAATAATTATTTATCGCTTTGTTGGTTGCATGGACCGAGACAGAGGCCTCAGATTCTTATTTTCTTTACGACTGAGTATCGATCGCTCTATCAATGAGATTCTAAAAATAATCTAATGGCTGACCTCTTTAGCTCTCTTATACTAGACAGAGCTAAGGCTCATCTCTCAACACGACATAACCAGGAACAGGGCTCACAGCTGAAATCATAAGAAAATAGTTATCATACAATAAGTCAAAGGATTTAATTATTTAAAATAGTGGTTAGTCAGTAAAGTTAAAATCAAACGGATTTTTTCGTATCTTTTTTCTATCAAAACAATAAAGCCACCAGATTGATTTCGATCATGATGGTAAGTAATTTAGACAGCAGGAAGGTTATACTTTTTTTTTTGTTGACGGAGAGATGGACTTTAAAAGGCGCCTAGCTTTTTGAGGATAAAAGAATAGGGAGTGTGGGATTTTTACCTCTCTAAAACCACTCCTGTGGTCACCCTCAACACCTGTATGGAGGCACCGGGTCCTCTAAAAGAGACCTGCTCCGGAGCGTCCACGATGCAACGCCTGTTACGACACATCACGGCGCCTAGCATTTTGGGGATAAAAGACTAGAGAGTGTGGGATTTTTACCTCACTAAAACCACTCCTGTGGCCACCCTCAACACCTGTATGGAGGCACCGGGTCCTCTAAAAGGGCCCTGCTCCGGAGCCTCCATGGTGCAACGCCTGTTACGACACATCCCTAGAGTGTTTCCTCCTCCTTGCTGTGTCCGGCGGCACATGACCACTGTGCCACCGTCTTCCCTGAGACCACAGGATGGGCGTCTAGAGTCCGCACTCTACGCACCCGTGGCCCCTAAAGGTCCGCCTAAAGCGGATACAGGCGGGATTCTCTTCAGCTAGGCTTCGAAGTGCGGCAGAATGCGGCTTCGACATAAATGAAAAAAAATTAAAACTTGCATAAAGCTCGAACTATGTAAAAAGCGTACTATAAACTGTCAGATTATATTAAAGATAAGAATGCTTGGCAGCATGTAGGACCAGCTCCACTACACAATAATCAATACACTCAGTATTTGCTCATACTCTAAAGATTAGTCTTAATTCCAATGTAATCCAGATATCTTGTGGCATCGACCATTTCTTTTCGTTTTTGTTTGAATTACTTCAAGGATTTTTATTTGTAGGTATAGAATCATTATTTAAAACTATAAGTGTACATATGTGGGCACCATGTTTGAAACAATCATTCATAGTTCCTTATTTTATTTCCGAAGTTGATTCCGTAGTCCCGTTAAATTTTGACGTTGGATTGTCATTACATTGTTCTCACATACTTATGTAGGTATACATTAGGTCAATGATCAGATAATGTATCAATGTAACGATGGCGTTTCTTCTTTGTTCTTCTCCATTCGAAACTACACTTTGGAACTAGCGCCTAGCTTCACTGACTGACAGACAGATGGGTAATAAAATTTTTGACGTTTCAAAAGTACTTAAATAGGGATTAGGAAATTGAAATAAATGCTTTGAATTTGACTTTGACTACAGTGCATAGTGCACAAGAGTATATGCAAACACAGGTGCAATCTCAGTTCCGTAACTCTTTGAACCCAATCGGACGGCAGATTAACACTACCGGAGAGAGCTCGGGCGCAGTACCAACGTCTGTACGTGTTTTCCGAAGCATCAGGGTGAAAACACTCCTGAAGTTGTGTGACCTGACTCCAAGCTAATAATGGTCATATATTACTCAGAAAATACCAGTAATACCACTATAATTTTTTGCCCGATGACGGAATTAAACCTGCGACAGGCACAGCAGCCACTGTTTAGTAGTAGTAGCTATAATTAATAAGAGACTATTGCCAGAATACTGAAACGTTACTCTACTGTCGTGCTTAAATATCGTGCCATCTCTGTCATTTTACAAAGAATTACCTAGTGGTGACAGAACTATAATTTAGCGCGACTTAAAATTGAGTAGCGTTTCAGTATTCCAACTTATAAGTTTCAAGTCGGTGTTTAAAGGCCGTCTAGATGAAGAGATCAATCAGTCAGAATGATTTTTAAATAAACTTAGGAAGATACTAGTTTCAAATTAAAAGGAATCGTATATCTACTGCATGAGCGTTTCTTTGCGGCCGGGAGGGCGGTGCTGCATACTGCATGCTACTATCGGAATAAAAACTTAATATATTCATAAAATACCGTGTTGGTATTTTATGAAATCCTTGGTATTTTATGAAATCCTTTTATCAGTTTTTTTTATGACATAAGCCGACGAGCAGACGGATCACCTGATGGTAAGCAATCGGCGTAGCCCATGGACACCTGGAACACCAGAGGCGTTACAAGTACCTACGTTATCGGCCTTTTGGGGATTAGGAGTTTGAGGATCGTTGGGATTCAGGAATTGGGGAGATTGGGGAAGGGGAGGGTAATTGGGCCTCCGGTAACCTCACTCACACGACGAAACACAACGCAAGCGTTGCTTCACGTCGGTTTTCTGTGAAGTGGTATCACTCCGGTCGAGCCGGCCCATTCGTGCCGAAGCACGGCTCTCGCACACAGAACGAACGAAATTTTAACGAAAGGACTTTAATTTTTCGTTTTCCACTGGCGCCTAATATTTTAAATTCTCTCTAGGTCAAACCAAGTTTCAGAAAAACCAATTGCAGCGATAATTTGTATTGGCGCCTAAAAGAATAATATTTTGCATTTGATTTGTATTTTTTTATTACTTATATAAGTCGGTATCTACCTACAATAAATCCAATAAAAATAAATGACCACAAAGTTTATTTATTTATTTTATAACATGCACTGTTCATCGTTAGTAAACGACTACTAAATAAAAAAACAAATTTAATAATACGTAGGACGTATTATTCATTTCATTTGCTTGTATACTTATTGATTGAAAGACCATATCCAAGTTAAATCTTACGTTCAGAACTCTCTGTACATAATATTAACTTGCAGTCTTAGTCGCCATGGTTACATTGGCTAGCTTCAAGACGCCATATTTTTATTTACTGCAATGTTACTTGGCAACACTCGATCGTGGCATTACGTTTACGTCATTCTAATGTCAAATGAAGTAACGCGAAAGCAGCCGAAGTCTGAAGTCGCAAGTCGCCGAACTAGTAAAGTCATTGTCTTGCTGGCCTTGTTGCTTGTTGCTAACTTATGTTCTAGTTCTTTTAATTATTTGTTTTAATTCAATTAATACCCTATAAATAGTGCCGTTGTGTGTGTTAAAATTTTGAACTCAAAGGATACAAAATTCCAGGTAAGAATTATGTAAATCCAAAGAATAGTTACGTGCTACGTTACCAATTTACCGTATTTTTGTTTACAAGAGAAACTTTCTGTCATTGTTATTCTTTTGTTGTCAAAAACACTAGAATTACGCTGTCATTTGTTTCTTCTTAGAAATAATCCAATGACTTGACAATATTTTGATTTATTTCTCTGGTTTCGTGTCGGCTTTTAAATCGGCATCGTTTGCCAAAAAGAAATAAACATACATAAGGTGTTGTAAGTGCCAAAGTGGCATAGAAAAATAATATTAGATAAACTTAACTTTGTTAATATTAAAACATTACTTTCTTAAATATTATAGTAATAACATCAATTTGCTATAATGAATCAAAAACGTATCCTGACGAGAATGTGATACACTATAACATACCTACATATTTTAATAGGGGTCAAAGTTACTTACTCATTAAGATAATTATCTACAACACTTAGTAGTAGGTACACACCATTTCCATTGAAACACTCAATTTGCAAAAATCTTACTACCATTTCAAATGCACTTTATTAAAAAAATCTGGCAGGTGACATAACAACCTTTAAATTAAAAAAAATGAGTTAACTAATTGATGAACCATGTTCCCTCCAATTTACCTTCTTAATTCAAACCTGTTTTATTTAATTATTTTCTACTGCTATCATTTTACTCTATTTAGGCACATTTAATATTGTCTTTATCAATCATAATTACCATTCTTTATGGGTTAATTCATCTACTTTGTTTCAAAGAGGAATTCCAGTATTATAACTTCTATCAATATTCAAATGATACACAGCAGAAACATATTGATACCAATATTTAATACAAGTACATACTTAAATATTTTACATATAAAATGTATTTGTACACCAAAATAGTTTAATGATTTTAAAAAAGTAGATACTTATTTAGGGTTGGTCCTATTGGCTCCATCAAGTAGAATTAATTGTTATGTTCATGATAAACCAATCACTTACTGGATGTATTACATGTATGGGTACATGTATGGACGTGTACCATACACTATACCTTTCCTGACAGATTCTAACAGTTGAATAATAAAATCAAAGACCACTCTAGTTAACCAAGCAACCAATACAAATTGTAATACAGAGTTAATACACATTATGAATCATTTTATTAGTATTGTAAATGAGCATTTCAAAATAAAATATATTCCCAAAACCAAACTCGCTATCTGCAATTGATAAACAGCATAGGCAACGAAGTTATACGAGAACAATGAGGGACTAAGTATGATTCATAAACACTCATCTGTGCTCTCAATTGAAACAATAACAATATTAAAGTAACAGTGTATTATAAAAGACTAGTTTGATCAAATAACAATCTTTTTATTTTTATTGATAAAATATTCATAATATTTTTACGATTTACTTTAAAAACTGTAAAATATGTATTACTATACATACAATATAGGTGCACACCATCCACTCACTTTCATAATCTAATGGAACGGCAATACTAAACAATCGAAGATCAGGTCAATAAGCTAATGGATTGAAATGCATTGTCTCACTTCATATTTTATATTTACTCAAGGCTTTTTTCTCAGGATGGCCTGGACAGGTTACCAGAAGTTCCTAGCTGCTATGCTAGTAGTTACGGGGTCCATTAACTCCCTGAGTACCAAATGGGCTGACAAATTGCAAGCCAAGGGCTCTGATGGACAGATACGTGAATTTGAACATCCGTTCCTTCAGGTAAGTTCCTATTCTTGCTATATTCTGTTTGAAATATTTGTTAAATGTAAGTCTAATATAGGATTTTGTTGTTCATTTTAAAGCAATGTTACATATCTATTTCAACTTCAAAATGTAAACTCAAAACTAAATGCACAGAACAGTGAACATAGAATGGAACTTTGTGTTAGTACTATTTCCAAATGAGTTTCAAACTCCTAAACTTTGTTCCGTTGAAATTGCACTGGACAAAGTTCTATAAAGCTAACCAATTAATTCAAATGCACAGTTTCAAAACAAACGTCAAAGGCTTCAGAGTTGTAGGTTTTGTCAAAGCATTTTCACCCTTATTGAGGTGTACTATTTTGTAGCGTTATCTAGGTTGTTTTACATTTGGTGTTTTTTTTTTACTCTGAAATAGGCGGCGGCCATGTTTCTCGGAGAGATGCTGTGCCTGCTGACATTTAAGCTGATCTACTATAAGACGAAGAATACTGGAGGGCATGCTCTTACCAATGGCAATCAGAACTTCAACCCGTTCATCCTAATGCCGGCTGCAATGTTTGACTTGGTAAGTAAATACAGCTAGTATGCGTTAACTCCTAATGGACTCAAAAATAGACTGTAAATATTTAAATATGTGATTAAAAAACAACTCACGCGTGCTTTTTAGAATGCGTGAAGAGTATTATTAGTATTCCTCAGTTCCACACTGAGGAATACTAATAGATAATTCGAAAAACTGTATCCAATTGGATACTACTACGTGTGGGCTAAAATTTCGTCAAAATTGTGCTCCCATGGGACTATTTTAAATTTTTTTTTATTAATTTTTCTCGTTTACTAAAACGAGCAGCCTCATAGATCGCTTAATTGATAACAAGCAATCGTAGCTGCCAATAGACGACCCGAAACACAAGAGGTGTTAAAAGTGCGTTACTGGCCTTTTGGGATTATGAATTTAAGGATTATGGGGAATTCAGGGATTAAGGAGATTAAGGAAGGTGATAATTGGGCCTGCAGTAACATCACTCATACGAAAACACAAAATAACTCCGGTCGTGGCGGCCAATTCGTGCCGAAGCATGGCCCTCCCACACTTAATATTGTTATTTGGGCGTCTATGGAAAAATTCGGAGACTTTTAGCCCACATAGCCTTTATCCGTTGGCGTAGAGAATAGGTGTGTCAATCTAAACTGTCGCGTTTAGAGCTATTAGGTAGCATATCGTCTAATTTCAATAACGTATTATCGACACGTTATCTAAAACACTACTGTATGCTGCACTCAGCTTATAATTCTACCACGTTCGTCATGATAGCCTTGGGTTCCTCTTTCTATTCATTGAAATGATCTCCCCACTCCTATTTCAAAATTTTAGGTTCCGCAAAGCCACTTTTTGCCAATCCGGCGGCACTGTTTTTTTATCTTCTTTCCCCAGTTCCTTTGAAGTTCCTAACCATTTTATTCGTAGTTTCCCCTTCAACAATGAAGTACTCGAACCAGCCACTAGACTCTCCACGAGTCTTTCGCTTTGACGTTGAGAATTGCTATTTTCATTCACCTCTGGCGTCCGATTTTCAGAAAACTGGTGGACAAAGTTACAAGGAGTTATTATATGCTAACTCTTCTCGGTTTATTTATTACTTTACCATGATACAAAGTGACGTAGCTTAATCAATCTTACTAGTACTTACTCACGAATATAAACATGAGAAGACTTCATATCCGATTAGTTATTATCCGAAGATCACGTTCAGCGAAAGATATCCAATTAAATATCACTATTATAGATAAATTACAAACATCGGCTAGGATTGTATCTATGTTTGTGTGCCATGATAATTACAAATGTATTGACTTAGTCCGAGATAATGCCATGTACCTAATTAGTTGCTATGGGCAATATGCGTGGTTAGAACAAAATAAATATAAATGTTTATCTTCGCTACGTATTATCTTTCAGCTATTAATTATGATATTTGTATTCGACTGCTTCTTGGTAGAGCGGGCTTGCCATGAGTTGCCATGTGACGGGCAAAATATATATAGAATTTTGATTTAGAAATTCTTTTGTTGTTTGAAATCGAGCGCGATGGTTGACAAATGCTACACCATTTTGTCGCATTAGCATAACATGAGTGAAATGATTAGTCAGATATGTTTGTTTGATTGGAACTCAGAATTTGTAAAATGTTGTTGTTTGTAATTCGATATCCTCAGCCAGCATCGTCTAGAATTTCTTATTTGTGACTCTTTAACTCTTTGCATCAAAAATTATTTGTTTCGGACCAAATGACCATGTCAGTGTCCTATTCAAGTTTTTTTTTTGCTCTAGACCAATCGCTATCTAGCAATACCGTTTGCTATTCTCTGATGTGTACGCAAATAATGATTTCCAGAATGAGTAGAATACAATTGTCACCATCCCTGCTCGTCCGGCCAATGTTGCAAGAGTCTACAAATGAACCACATATTTAACCGAGACCAGAAGCTTCAGTACGAGCTTGTTTAACGATTAAAATAATCGAGACCGCGAGCTCTAATTGGTTGGTTTATTAGAGCCGGCCAATGAGAGCGCCGAACGCGTACTCTTTTCTATTACTTTAATCGTAAAACAAACGTACTAGCCCCTCTGAAATCGGAATGATGTAAGACCTAAAACTGAGGAGTAGCTTTTTGAACTGTTGTAGGACGTGGATTTGCCATTATGTTTATGGTTACCAGGTGGCTTGGGGATTGTGGTTTAAAGGTTTCTCAGTTTATCAAAAAGCAGAATGATGGGGTTGTGAAAATTATATTGCACTCTAACACCTTAAACTTTAACTGCGACCTGCGAGGCTGTGACCTGCTTACCTGTAGTCTATCGAAGATAATATGGCAAACCCCTCTTTTGTAGATGAGGCTCATAGACCTGCAGTGAAATTCACAGGTGTGTGATGTTGATGTGATCAAAAAGGAAGTCACTGCAAGTTTAATCTATACTCTATACTAATATTATAAAGAGGAAAGATTTGTATTTTTGTATGTTTGTAATGAATAAACTCAAAAACTACTGAACCGATTGCAATAATTTTTTCACCATTCGAAAGCTGCATTATTCAGAAGTAACATAGGCTATATAATATCACGCTAGGTCCTATAGTTGTGGAGCAGTAACCAAAAATGTTTTAAAAACGGGGGAAAAGTACCGTTTCTGAGGCCTTCCGTGGCGTGCGCTGAGCATATAGTTAAAGTTATACAAAAATGTTCTATAGATGAATTGTTTATCTTAACATTATTTTTAAAAAAGTCCGCGAGAGCATATGTCTACCTTTTATAGTTTACCCATAACAATCGTTTTAATGAATGGTTCAATCCTTATAAAAGTTTGCTCTAGATAACTTTTGAATTGTTCAATCGGTTACCTTAAGACGCGACATCGACAACGGAGGGCAGGTTGCTAAAAAAAAACTGAGAATAAATATAAATAAAACGTAAAACTATGTAAAAAATCTTAAGTCCCCCCATGCGAAGCCGGGACGGGCCGCTAGTATCTGATAAAGTCTTGCTTCTCTTACAGCTCGTTGTCTATCCAACCGCCTTTCCTTGGCTTCTGCATTTTTATACTAAACTATTCAATTTTTATGGTTTCGATAAATACGTTTGGCTCCTACCTACCTACCTACCTACCTTTTGGTTTTTATGGATATTTCGACCCTTCCCAAATTCTAAACACCGGAGTATCATTCAGCCTTTACTCTAAGTTGTACGTGGATTTTTTGATTTTTGAGAGCAGCGGCGCTCCGATTGGCCGGCTCAAGTGAACCAACCAATCAGAACGCTTAACTCGCTCGATACTGTTACGATACAAATGCGATAGTTATTCGTGCTTGGCCCTCAGCATGCTTGCAATTTTTATAACGAGTTGAATTGTGTGTCCAAGATATGTCTTCGAGGAACTAACTAGTTTCTGTGGCAGTTATTGTGGCACGGATCGCTTAGTTTATAGTACCTATTTGCAGGTCAGAAAGGTGGACGCATGTCGACGCGGTTTTTTCGTTTCAGGCGCATATGTAATAAGTACTTGACGTTCAATAGGAATTGGAGAAATAACCATAAATTTTATAGTATCTAGTACTAGCTACGCGCGCGCGGTTTCGCTAGCTACGCGGCCCCTATTGATCGCAGCGTGATGTTTGATTGTGATCTATAGTCTTCTTCGATAAATGAACTACTCGGCACAAAAAGAATTATTCAAATTGAACCAGTAGTTCTAGAGATGAGTATATGGATGTGAAATTAAAGGAAAAAATATTTGGCGTTGTCGTTATATCACAATACGTAGGTATATTTATAGATACTAGTTATCTTACGCTGTCTAGATAGGTACATGTTTATGTTTTATTGTTTTGAATGTTTATCTCTAGATATTCCGAGTGGATTTCCTTTGTTTGGATACAATTTTCTTATCGATAACTCAACGTAGTTCGGTGGTACATACCTACTTAAGATCGATGGTTTGTATCAATGTTTCGCACTAGATCACAGTAGGTACTTAATACAATTCCAATAAATTGTAATCAACATAAAAAAACTAAAATAAAAATAAAAAGCCTTATATTTCCCAATTAAAAAGGAAATATACATTTCCAAAAAAAAACATATTATTTTAGAGGTATATTAAGTTTAATTTTTAGGGAACCCCTGAGGTGAAGGCCTCCTCCAGAGACTGCCATGTTTCTCGATCTTTTGCTGTATCTAGCCAGCGTACTCCAGCCACACGTAGGATTTCGTCATCCCATGGTGTGTGCGGTCTTCCTCTTTTTCTTTTTCCTATTGGTCCTTTCCATGTTGTACTTATTTTTGTCCAATTGTCTTGTAACCTTGCTACATGACCATGTAATCAACATAACTATGACTAAATTTTGTTCTACCTCTATAAAACAATCGCATGTAGCTTTGACATTAGATCAATTAACTCGTCGAGTACCGGATCTATAGACACAATTAAAGAACAATAGGTCGCGGTCACCGGTGACTGCTTGGTGTTTGACAGTTTAATGTTCATACATGTCAAGAAAAGATTTTGCAAAATAAAAGCATAGTTATCAAAACAAAATGTATAGAAGATCTGTGTAATTAATTATCAACTTGACATTCATAAATTCTAAGTACATATAACTGATAAGAACCTATCATATTGAATAAAATGTATTTAATTATCACTTTCCATTGCATGCTCCATATTATCGTATGTTGATAAAACACAAACATGTTTACGGAAAGGTCATCGGTGCCATGGAAACATAATAAATGCTAAACAAAGTTTGCACTGACAATTTTGGCTTTTATGTTGTAAGTAATAAGGTTGCAAAATAAACGACTACGATATTGTGCTAGTAGCTACGTAGGATGGAATAAAATCTACAGGCTGTTGCGAAGCGCTAGCGTCTCGTGTTCCTTAAGCCGATGACAAAACGTACGTAGGGACCTGTTGAATGTACCGTAATGTTTGCGTTTTCGTACCATTCATGAAACTTATAGGCCACTCCATTGTACGCCCGCTCCAGGTTAATAGTACGTAAATGACGTATGACATAATAGAGGTACATTAATAGTGGATACGGGCTTTTTAGTAGATGGTAGTTACAGGGGAAGATGGCATTGCTTAGATTCAATGTATCTAGTTAAAAAGGGGCTAAGAGATCTCAATTTTTTTTATGGTTGAAGAGCTTAATGATAGTCTCGTAATGGAGTATTAGCATTTCATTTCCTCATTACCGTCATAACAAAGTATTTGCGATGATATGATGTAAAGAGTTTTACTTATATTTTCACTACCGTAGAATCCAGCTGGAGTAAGGTATATGTAGGTCATAACATGATTTACCGCGCGAGACCTACGAAGACAAACGGTTGCAAAGAAAATCAATAATTGCAACTGCGCAGAGCGCACTTCGATGTTCATTGAAGAGGTGAACTCAGGGCATTCTAGAAATATATTATGGAGTCAAACTTTATTGACATTTAAGTATACCTATTAACCACAAATAGGTCACAATTTTCTTAATATTTTACATCGCAAAGCGAATTAGTTTTCTAAATTAAGCCCCATGTTCAAAGCATAGTACACAGCATAAGCATTTGATAAAAAATAATTACATTTCGTCTAGAATTTTGCCTCAAGCATTTGCGAATTGTCTCAAGTTTAGGTTGAAAAAAATAACATAGACAAAGCTGTGTAATGTATGCGTAGCGAAGTTTTGCGACATGTATCTAAATAATGTATATTTTTAAATAATTAAATTTAATTTAATTAGGTATTTCAAATTTTTATTTTTAGAGAACTTGGGATTGTGAATAAATTCTTAAAAAAGTGTCCAGCCCTTAATGTCACAAGGATATTTTTTTTTAAATTGTAACTTTACTGCTTAAGTAAGTAAGTAAGTAAGTAAGTAAATCATTTATTTGCGTAAAACATGGTATACATTGGTGTTAATATTGTTACAATAGCTCAACATGTTTCGCTAAGGTAAAACATAGCATGCAAAAGTTTGTTATTTTGACAGAAGTGAGCAGGTAATTAACATTTCACATTCATAAAATCACATAAACTATAAAAATTACATTCATTGAGCCACTTGTATAATTCGATCTTAAGTCTCCTTGTGTTCATTACTTTAAAGCGACTTGGTAATTTGTTATAAATACGTACGCACATTGCTAAACAGTTTTTATTGTATTTGGCAAGTCTTGGCAAATCACTTAATACCAGTTTATGAGGGTCTCGTCTGTTTCTAGGATTGATATAATGTGCTGATTCAAATAATCTCTTATTGTTAGCCACAAATACACATACCTCATATATGTACAGACACGGCAGAGGTAGCAAACCAAATCTTTTAAACACTGGTCTACAAGAGCCATCAGGTTGAAGACCACTCATTGCTCTGATGCACTTTTTTTGTGCGACAAATGCTCTATCCATATTGGTGCTATTACCCCACATTACGAGGCCGTATCGCAATAGCGACCCAACATAGGCGTAGTATGACATAATTGCAGTTTTTATGTTAGTTATATTTTTAACCTGCTTCAGTGCGTATACAAATTTATTTATTCGAGTGCTTACATTATCCACGTGCTCCTTCCAGTTAATATCTCTATCTATTGTTACGCCTAAAAACCTTGTATGTGTTACCTCTTTTAGTTTATCTATATTAAGTAGTACATTATTTTTATTATTATTTGATCGATTAAATTGAATATAAACGGATTTATCTAAATTTATTTCTAAATTATTCATGTCAAGCCAAAGCAGTAATTTGTCTATTGTTTATTAATGTCAAACTCATGGTCCGTCTTGTTTTTCTTTTTATCTGATGTCACTATGATGGATATGTCGTCAGCAAATAGTATGCATTTATATTCGGTTATTTTTATTATGTCATTAATATATAGAAGAAACAATATCGGACCCAGAACACTTCCTTGCGGGACGCCACACTTATTTTGCCTATATTCTGACGAGAACGGTATCATATCTCTATTATTGTTTATTTTACTAATAATGACACGTTGTTGTCTCTCGTCTAAATATGACGATATCCAGTGGAGTGCAGGTCCTCTAATTCCAGTAGTCTCTAGTTTGTCCAACAATGTGCTGTGCGACACGAGATCGAAAGCCTTAGATAAATCAAAAAAAAGTCCAGTAGTCAGATGATTATTATTTATATTTGTGAGTATTGTCTTCATAAGAGAGAAAATAGCTAATGATGTGGATTTATTTTTTTGGAACCCAAACTGTTCAGAACTTATTATTTGAAATTTATTACAAAAATCAATAAGCCTTTTATACATACATTTTTCATAAATTTTAGAAAAAATTGGAATTAACGTAATTGGACGGTAATTATTAATATCACTTTTATCTCCTCACTATATACTCACGTACATACACGTAACAGCCAGAAAACCGACGTGAAGCAACGCTTGCATTGTATTTCGTCGCGTGAGTGAGGTTACCGGAGGCCCAATAACTTTCCCCTTACCCAATCTCCCCAATCCCTCAACGTTGTGTATCGTTCAATGTTGCTCATGACTATAAGCCCCTAGCGTGACTTGAAACTGATCGGGTTACTCCGTCAAATAGACGCATAAATAAGCTTAAACCATAAACCACAATAATTTAATAATTTAAGATGCTGATTCTGTTTAATTGAAGGAACTACTTTGTAATTCCTCTCAAATGTTTATTTTTATTTTTGTCATGTACACATGGTACACCTAAGCCCGATTATTGAATGGATATGCCACCATGCGAATAGATAGCAAACCTGTTACAATACGTAAGTCTTCTGCCACTAGTCTGCATCAATTTCCTTTTGTTCACGCAGATTGGAACGTCGATCATGTACATCGGTTTGACGCTGACCTACGTGAGCAGCTTCCAAATGTTCAGAGGGTCTATCATCATATTTGTTGCCGTGCTGTCCATGACTTTCCTGGACAGAAGAATAATACGACGCGAGTGGGCTGGCATTGGTAAGTTTTTCTTATTTACGTGTTTCAAATCATTAACAGGTCAGTCAGCGTAATTAGTGAATTAACCAGGTTGTGCGGCATATTATACTGTACCTATGATGAAGATATCGGCTGCGAATGTTAAGTGTGACAGATACTTGCCGTTAATACTTCTTATTATCCCTTCTCCGCCTTTCCAATACAGCATCTAAAACGTTATCGAGGAAATAAAGTCCCTTCAACATACTCGTCGATGCAAGTTATGTTGTACTCGAACGGCCATAGACTTGGGCGAAACAAAAATGATGTTCAATGAACATGTTATTGCTCTTTCGGAAACGAATGACTTAAACCGGTCTCGCTCGAGGTTGGTTTGGAGTATGTATAACTGGGGTACCCTGTATTTTGGTGGAAACAAATTCAAGGAAGGCAGAAAACCATAATTACTGTCTTCGCTGGATTAGCAAGCTAAAATGAAATTTGGACGGTCTTCGCGCGAAGAAATTATGACGGATGTGTTCTGGAGTATCTAAAGTGGAGATCACGTCTAGACAAACGTACGTCACCTCCCTGCTAGGTAAACATGCTCATTGTGATTGGTACTGGTTGAATGACAATATTGAAGTCCAAGCTCAGTGACGGGGTATTAGAGAAACGTAAATCCAGTAGTGGACTGAAACGCGCTGATGATGAAGTTATTGGGGAAGGCCTATTTTTAGCAGTAGACATCTTGTGGCTGGTGTCAAGGAGTTGGAATTGACGAGACAAGGTGACACTAGCATCCCTTTAAATTAATGGTGAACTTACTGCGATCTCCAAATCAACTGCTTAGCACCTCCGTTTTACAATTGACGTCGTCGACTCTAAAGAATATTTTTCTTCATCTTGTGACCGTTTTGTAAAAGTATCATCATCAACCAACCATTCCTCCTTCAGAGTCCTCTCTGAAAACTCGGTATCATTTCTTCGCCTGATTTCAGCTATTCTATTATTCTTTCATTTTAAGACGCTGCAAAGCTACAGCAATCTGATCTTTGATGATTTAAATCTTTTTAAATCAACAATGGGGCAGATAAGTAGGGTCATAGGCGTTGCCATTCAACTATTGACTGTATACCCGCATACATATTTAAATTATTGTATCTATAGTTTTTTGTTAACGGAACGTAATTGCGAGTGAAAGACTGACCTATTTACGATGAAGCCGTCTAAGTGCTTCTTGATAAAATAAACATAGAACTTCAAGTGACTGAATTAGAATATGGATATTTGATTCTCGGTAGAGGACTGTTTGCGTAAAATATTTTATTGCACCTTAGTGACACCTCGGAGTGAGAATTTTACCTTCCAGTTAAAGCTTATTTATTATTTATTGATTTATTAGTATAGGACTTGAAACAGAAGTAGATTATCGACGACTTACAAACGAAGCATTATTGACCGCTTTCGATGCTATTGTTCTGACGTTTAGTGTTTTACAATTACATAGTAGGTACTATTTAAAAAGATGTTCAGCTTATTATGTTATAATAACTGCATGGTTCCTTCCTCCCTTAAATCCCCAAGCGGTCACCGGTGACTATGACAAACAAAGAGGCGTGGACAGCAGCTTCCGTTCATAACTACTACTACAACTAAGACTACCAACGTGCTACCAACCAAGCTTAGGTCTGGGTAATATTGTAAAACGCTGTTTTGAGACCTTTTTGGGCAACAAATGATCATACAATCCGTATTAAAAAATAACTGGAATAAACCACTCGTGATTCTTTAAGGCCAAGGATACACTAGGGGGACAAATTTCGCACGACATGTATCGGCGACATGTCAAGCAACGCCCGGCCGATGTCGTCAGAGGCCTTAGTACGAGTTTGTTTTACGTTTAAAGTATTCGAAACGAGTACGCGTTCGGTACTCTGATTGGCCGGCTCCAATGAACCAACCAATCAGACCGCCGAATGCAGTCTCGTTTCGATTACTTTTAACGTAAAACAAACTGGTGCTAAGGTCTCTGACATATATATTACTAGCTTTTACCCGCGGCTTCGCTCGCGTCACAAAAAAATAAAAAGTATCCTATGTGACATATACCAATACACACAGCGCCATCTATACCATTACTTTTGTTTTCCCCCGGCAATATCAAATTTTTCCGGGATAAAAAATACCCTATTATTTAATCCGGACTTATAACTTTACGTCTGCAACAATTCAAAGCAATCGGTTAAGTAGTTACGGCGTGAAAGCGGAACAAACAAACAAACTCACGGTCACTGGTGACCGCTTGGTGTTTGACAGTTTAAGTACCGATTGTTGTTAAATTGCCGACTGTTGCAGCAAACGTGACGCGGGCAAATAGGTCAAAGTTCTCTTGATCTTTGAACTCGGTTCACTTTGGCACTTACACGTGTCTGAGTTTTGGCGCTAGACGTTGCTAAGGTCAATTTAGAACACGATAAACTTAGGCAATGTTTCGAGATGTAAAGTACTGTCGAAAAATTGGACATAATATCCTAACATTACTTTAAAATAAATGTCAAACAGGTACCCTAATGAATTCTATCTCCCCTCAGGTTTTCAATTCAAACGCAGCGTTGCTTTCTGGGCACCTAGTTATCTAAATATATGCACTCATATCGATCGCATTGGACGGGAGACTTCGTGGTGTGAGTACCTATATTATAGGACTATAGGTACTTATAATTTATTCTGGAACTATCGATGACACAGAATTATACCTCTATTATAGGCAAGTCTTCTCTGCCCTACTTAATACTAAAGAGTTGTTTTACGTAAATTAGGTAAGAACTGTGCCCATGCAGTGATTGAGGTATTCTTTGCGACATTATTTAAGTTGTTGGCTATTAAAGCCTTTCTTCTAAACTTAATATAATTATTTCTCATAGAAAGAGCGGTGCATTAACCTCAACATCTTAATCATTAGAAAAATTAAAGAGCTCTATTTCATATTTGAAATAAAGTCTATTTTGTCTTTGATTTCTTTATTTGTCACTTAGTAGAAATGTGTAGTATTGTTTTGAGTAGGCTCTCAATCGTAGAGAAGTAACTAAACAATAGTACGTTCCCGCTTTGGGACGTAAACTTAGCGGGATGTTGTCAAAACAAAACGTTGCTTGTTTCCAAATAGGGCGAGAATTTTCCGTCGCCTTGGGAAGTTGGAATCTGAGCACAATAACACGAAAATAGTTTTTGTTTACTGCAAAAGAAATAGCTTTTCTTTTTATAAACACATCATAGCAGGATTACCTCTAGTTGTGTGCTTCTTCATAATAACCAATGAATAACTACTGTTAGACTAGCTTCCATAATCCATCGTTCTACTCGCAGTCCTTTCAGTCTCCGGGTATGTATATCTGTGATTCTGATATCTGGAGAGTGTGGGCATACGCCCTCATTATCATCATCTGGAGAAGGCGTCTGTGTCAGGGGAGAGTCCTAATATAGTCGTCCCTATTCCTGTGAAATTGTCATGACGTAACCGCCTTCGAAAAATAATAACGCTTTGATATTATGCTGTTCTAATTACGAAACCCCACACAATGACGTGTCTCCGTTTTGCTTTCGTTGGAATTATATGGGTCACTTGTTACACGACTTTCATTTTTAATGCTCCTCTATGCCATATATTGGTAAATGCAACAGGATGAAAGTAATTTTTATAGTTGATCGAACATACGTGCTTTAGCTTGCGCTCTCAATATTACAAGTTTTATGATATAATTGGTTTACAATAAAACCATATCGAATGTGTATTTGTGTAATTGGTTGATGAATGCGTGTACAGGACTGGTAGAAACTAAATAGCCATAGAAGATCGATCAAAATCGAAAGTCAAAATCTTCGATTTGAGATCGATTTTTGACATACGTTCGTAATTGAATTTCTGTCAAAACTCCTGGTTGATACTGAGATTTCTTAGGAATAAGTTCGGTTTATAATGTTGGTCTTTCAAAGTTACATGCACTTCGTTGTAAGAAAAATATTGTCTTAAGTAGGTACTTGCCTATTTTGCACGTGTAAAATACAAAATTTAGTCTAGTTCCAAGTTAAGAAAAAAAGGTTCAAACAACTTTAATAAATACTGTTTCATCTAACAACTAAGGGATATTATTTATCTTTAAAAGATTTATAAAGTACTAATATTTGATGAGAAACCTACTTAAATGTCTGAAGTAAAGATATAAAACGGTCCTGCCACCTTTGTTTAAAACCCGTATAACCTCGAGTGACCTAAATGATGTTCAAATACCTCGGAGCACTTGGCTGGATGGATGCTGCAGCCCCGTTATAAATCAATATCCGACGTCTGTATACAGTACAATGTGCAGTCCTCCCCGTCCCCCGTCAGTCCCCCCTCCCTCATGTCCGCCGCGCCCCCGACGCGCCACCCTCTAACTGCACACAGGAGATTGAAATTGTAAAGCGTACTATACGACACGGTTATTATGATTTCAGAGTTCCGTGTACAACTTTATGGATCTAGATTATTTTGTACTTTAGAAGTATTTTATCTAGCATATCTATTACGTATTGTCAGTCGTAAAATATTGCAATCTAGACCAGTAACGCATGACAATCCACTGGCATGAACATCGTTTCGCATTAAGAGGGGCCAATAATCTCTAACTTCACCTTTGGGCAGGCGGTTTAGGACTCGCTGTTTAAAAAGTTAAAGTTTATTTCATCTTCAATATATGCTCCAGTTGACCCTTGAGAAACCTGCGGGAAGAATAAGAGGATCAATGTATTCTACTCAGCCGTTACGTTGTAATAGACACCATTGCAGATTCAGTGAAACTAAAAAACTCAACATTTTGATCGGACCTCTCGTCGTCGTCCCAGCTTGAGAGTAAAATTATCGGCCACTTAAATCACAATACAATTAACAAAACTTGGCATCCACTCATTTATGAATGGCGGCCGACGACATAGTTTGCCTCATTCATATTCTCGAACCCACAGGTGGTTGTGTTGTAGCGATTGTGTTTATTCAATCCCGT